ATATATATATATATATATATATATATATATATATATATATATTGCTGTTACTATCTTCCTTGCAATCCCTGCATAACTTCTCATATGTTCTGAAGAATCCCCAGTATTTCAGAGCAAATTAGAAGACAGGAAAAGTTTTAGGGAAGAACAGTTCACAAAAATCAATTCATTTCCATATAGATTTAGTGTCTCTTACTAACTCATATGTTAAATGTACATGTTATGTGCTTTACCTCTTCACCATAGGTATAAATGATTTCCTTCTTTTGTTTGTCCTAGCTTCTGGAGAAAACAAATAACTTTTTTGAGGAATCAGATTCAACATCAGCAAGAAGTCCTTTGCATTTAGCTGTAAGTATAGGTTGCATGAATTGCTGTTCTAATAAGATCAAATAGCCTTCTGTTTCTTATCTAAAATATACTGGTTATTACTTATGATGAGACTTGTTTTCTTTGAGACATATCCAAATCTCTCCAGCCAAATTCAAAGCCCAAGATCCCCAAATGAAAACATTGCTATTGCATGATAGCTAACACTTTCTAAAGCAGAAGCCTCCTCTTAGAGATGGGGAAAGAGTTGAAGTCAATTTTAGTTAAGCTACTTTGGGGGCTCATATAAATATGCTACTAGTTAGAATAACAAATTCAAGAACGGTGTGAGGGCTTATTTCTTTACTATGTTTAAATTATTCTTATAAAGAATATCTATAGTCTCTGTAACCAGGGGTGGGCTGTTACTGGTTTGCACTAGTTCACACCAGTTCACGTAAACCGGTAGTTAATTTTATGGCCAGTTTGGCAAACTGACAAATCCTACCCTGGGTGGCCCTGCCCCACAGACCCCTCCCAGGAGTCCCCACGCGGCCCATTTTGGATCCCAGGTACTTTACCACGCAGACCCGCACGGAGGCCCAGAGAGCTTTCGGAGTCCAGGATGGCCGTTTTTGCCCTCCGGGAGGCTCGTGGAAAGTCTCTGGAGCCTAGGGAGGGCAAAAAATGGGCCTCCTGGAAGCTCCAGAAGGCCAGAAGTGGACCCATTTCAGACTTCCAGGGGGCCTTTGGAGCCCAGGAAGGCTGTTTTCGCCCTCCAAGAGGCTAAAGGGAAGCCTCCGGAGCCCAGGGAGGTTGAAAATCCCCCCCCCCCAATGGTGCAGGAGGCCACGCCTACAAAGCAACTGGGCAGAGAACCAGTTGCTAATTTTTTTGAAGCCCACCCCTGTCTGTAACCTTCAATTGGATGAAATTATGCATCTCAGGGCAAAATGTTTTCAACCAAAGTACCTCAAATGGGCTAACTCACAGAATGCTGGGACCTATTATTGAAATTTTTATTTATTTATTTGTTCAATTTCTATTTCAGTCAATGATTCTGGGGAATCTGTGGCTGCTTCAGCATTGCCAAGCTTCTGCCGCTATCACACTGCTGTGGTCATCTACCTGCCCCTTGAGAAGGGAAAGAGGAAGGAGGGAGGGACGGGGGGAGAGAGGAAGGAAGATTTCCAATGCTCATTGCCAGTCAAAAGGAAGTCATATCTTAATGCAGCTCCAACTGATCTTTTGGCCACCATGTCATTTCTAGTTCTCTGTTTAGTTGAGGAAACATCTCTGAAATGATGACCCAATGAGTCACAAGTCCTCTAATTAATACCGGTATTAAATGCAGTTTTGTGCACTTCAGAATTAATTTTGGGACATCTGTCCAGCTGCAGCTCTGCATACAATCACAGTTAGAGAAGCAAATGTGCGTAAGCAAGCAAAGCAAGCAATACTGTACCTTAGTGAACAGTGGGTTCATTTAATGACAGTGGCCTTTGCTTAACTACCGTGGTGTTTGCACTTATGGCTATGTCCATTTAATGATTGCCGCAAAAAAGTCATAAAATTGGCAAGGCTTGGCTCTAGTAGGTCATAACTCGAGGCGTACCTGTAAAATACTCACTATGGAATCTGATAAACTTTTGAAGGTTTAAATTGAATTGTTTATATAAGTTATTTACAGTTAATTTGTCCATTGCTGAGCTGCCCCCTCAAACTATTTCAAGGATTTTTTTGCAAAATAGTTGGCCAATATTCATCACCACATATACAGAAATGCATACAGAGAACAGCTTATAAAGTACTCTCATCCCCAAAGTAGCTTCCATTTTGCTGTGATTATGTAAACTGATTAAAACTTTTCCTTCAGCTTCTGGTCCAGCTGACTGACTAGTCTTTTGCCTACTACTTTATCTTAGCTTTTGTGGAGGTTTTTTGTACTTTGTTGATGGTTCTTGGATTTAAATATGTATTATGCACATCCTATGATTTCTCTGTTTTCTTTCTTGATGGATGTTATATGCCTCACGGGGTTCTTTTGGATTGGTGTAGGTTATAAAACATTTGTCACCCAATTCAGATTCTTTTCTATTGAGATGCATGTACTACTTATTTCCAAAGATTAGTCTAAATTCATTTACTTTTTAATAGGTTAAAATCCCTAAAGGGTTAGTTTATGTACCAATTTTAATCATCTATTAAAAATGCAGTTCCGGAGAAAAACCCTGAAAAGTATAGTTTATTCTGAAGAGGTAAATACCACATTGTGAAACAGGATTCAGGAGACTAATGAGATTTCTTCACTGTTCAGTTTTCATATCAGGAGAAACCTTGGTGTATTCTCAGTGTTTGAAAATCACTGGTCTTAAGTACTTCGTTTTTTCCTAGGCCTATAATGGTCATCATGAAGCATTAGAAGTGCTGCTTCAGTCACTAGTAGATCTGGATATTAGAGATGAAAAAGGACGTACTGCCCTGGATCTTGCTGCATTTAAAGGACACGTGGAATGTGTTGAAGCGCTCATCAATCAGGGTGCTTCTGTCACAGTGAAAGATAACGTCACACAACGAACCCCACTCCATGCCTCAGGTAGGTGAGATGCTACCATTTTGATACACTGACTACAGTTAAAAAAGAATGATATGCAGAAAAGCTCATGGGGATAATCAGCTTTGACAAAGTTCAGTTCCTTTTTAAACAGAAAAAATTCTTACCCACTTAGTGTAGTGGGAGATAACTGCAGCAAAAATTGCAAGCTGTAATTTACATCTGTTCCCACTATTATGCTAAGGTCACTGTGTATTGAATCACCTCAGAGTTCTATATAATAATTCAGGTTGAAGAGAGAAAAAAATTATAGCAATTTTAGAAAATTACTATTTCATTTGAATTCTTCATGATTAAGAAAATATAAGAGTGAAAATCTCTAAAGTTTTTTCCCCGTGGAACAACTCCTCCTTTCTAAATGAGCTAAGCTAAAATTGAACGTTTACTAAATCTCCAGAAATAAAGAAATAAAGTAAGCACAATTTCTTACAGGTAGTCCTTGATTTATTACCACAATTGGATCAAGGAATTTCCTTCGATAAGCGATACTGTTGATAAGTGAGTAATCCTATGATTGTGCCCAATTTTACAATCTTTTATGCCACAGTCATTAAGCAAATAACTCTGGCCATTAAATGAATCACACAGTCTGTCATGCCCCTGGTGGAGACTGACTCTGAGGGAGAGGAGGGACAGCTGACAGGGAGCGGAAGTTTGGCTCTGGAGGTTGTGGAAAAGGCTGGTGAAGGGGAGAGACCGACTGAGCAGTCAGAGGAGGACCCAGGCCCATCCCCTATCCATCCTAAGGCACGCAGGGAGGAGAGGATAAGGGAGAGATGTGGTCTCCTCGGGAGGAGGGGGCCTTGATCCTCTTCATGGGCTGCAGGTGTGAGAACTGCATAAGAGTTTGGACCTGCGTTCTGGCAAACGCTGGAGACAAAGTGTGTTTTATTTTGGTTTGAGGTTATCTTGGTTGGCGTCCTTCCAACAGACTCTGCCTTGTTATCTCCTTGAATTTGGTAAATACTTCTCCTGTTCCGTTGTGGAAATTTCATCATTGTAGTTTGTTTGGTTTTTATTTTCACCTCTATTTGCTCATTAAATTTGGACTGTATTGCTTTCTTTTGAAGACTATTTTTGAGTACGTTTTATCTCCAACTGAGAATTATTGAACAGTGAGGCCAAGTTGGAGGCATTAAAGGACATTTATTTACATTTTGGATTTTGTTACATTTGTGTTACACTCTGGGCCATCACACAGTCATTAAACAAATCCAGTTTCCCCAATTGACTTTACTTATTGGAAGCAAGCTGGGAAAGTCATAAATGGTGGTCATATGACTCACCCAGGACCCTGCAACCATCGTAAATACATGCCTAGTGCCTGGATTGTGCTTACATGAGCATGGGGACACTAAAATTGTAAGCGTGAAGACCGGTTGTAAGTCACTTTTTTTTAGTGTCACTGTAACATAAAATGATAGCTTAAATAAATGGTTGTTAAGCCAAGGACTACCTGTATTCCCAAAACAGAGATGATGTGTAATCAGACATCTATAGTGAATCATGATCCTTGAATTTTATTACCAGTTCATCAAATTATCATGACATATTGCAGGGTTGGGCAGTAATGGGTTTACAGATCTTCTGAACTCTAGTTGTGTAGTATCATTTTGTCTAACCAAATGGTACCCCAACATTTCATAATTGTATCACTGAAATGAAGAAAGCTTAGCATAACCCAAATTGGATTGGTCTGTGAAGTTCACTCAAGTTCTAGTCCTTAGAACAAATTCCTGGATTCAGAATTCTGCCCCTCCTGAACCAGATTACAGTTGGTGATGTCAGCATGCTATGAATTAGATCTGTTTCTCCTCTTGAGTTGCACTTGCTGTTAGGCATTTAGAATTTAGATCAACTCATCTGTAATTGGATATACCTACTTAATTTTCCTTATGCCATAGTTTAGAATTGATTATATATTGCCATTTATTTTTAGAGTCGTTAACAAATAAACCAAGTACTGTATATTATTTTGTATTGCAATGGTGCATTATCTTAGCATGGCCTGATAGAGACCTCTGTTGGCTAAATACAGGTTTACATTGTCCACCAATAACAGTTGAAGCAGACCATATTTGACTATAATTAGGTAGGATTTCTTCATGGAAGAAACTCAAAATTGCTGCTGCTGCTATTTTCCATATGTCTTTGGATGCTACTGCAGTGTTGAAAACAATCTTGAAAAATGTAATGCTTGTACAAAAATATGAATGTCGTTTCTCAACTCTCTCTTTTCTCATCTCATCAAAGACAAATACCAGTATGTATTTTGGCTTTTCTACCTAATGGCAGTCAATATTTTTGGAGAATAAGCATTAAATAATTAAACTATTAATGAATATGGATTGAATCATCAAAATTCATAACTATATTTATTTCTTATATTAGAAGATGAATTTCAGGAGTGAATATATAGGGATATTTTCTTTCTTAATGGATTATTCAAAGACATTTTCTCCTAAATATTACTTGATACAAGTTTGACTCTTTCACGGCTTTTATTTTAAAAACATTTAAAGTATGTATTTCCTCTTTATAGTTATCAATGGGCATACAACATGTCTACGACTTTTATTAGAAGTAACAGACAACCCTGACGTGGTGGATGCCAAAGGACAGTAAGTTTATTTCATTTTGAAATTTATGATTTGAGTGATGAGATCATTTTAAGCAGTAGCACTTAGATATCAATCGTAGCCATGTCCTCATTCAAGGGTGTTCAGAAGTTAGTTTAATATCTTCAAATTAAGGTAAGGATCGCCTTCCCATGCCATGGCTAACCAATTAATAATGCTGCTATCAGTTCTTCAACTTTTAACACTGGAGTTAAAGAGGAGAAAAGCAGTTGGACACAACCATTACAGCTGTAAGAAACTGGTAATCAAGGACAACAATCATGGTTAAGCCTGTATGAGGCAAGAAATAGAAAAAACAAATTTGCAGCAACCCTAAGGAAATGAGATTATAACTGGTGTTGTACTGCCAGTGTATGTCCAGGATATGTTCTCTGGGATTTCTGCTACAGAAAGCATTCCACCCCATGCCAGATGCCAGAAGTGTGTTCTTTATTTTACGTCTTAGATAAGATGTAAAAGTGAGAATAAAAGTTTGAAGTAAAGAACTCTTTATGAATGCAGACTGTGTGTTAATAATGGGTCTCCTATTAATATGAACCAGAATCTTGAAATATGACCCTACTCTAGCTCCCTGTGAACCTCTCTTCTTGGAGTCAGTTCTTGTATATGTGATTATATCCCATAGCTTAAGTCAGGAAAGCCATCTGGGAGACTTTGGGTCAGACTCTCTCTTTTAGCCTAGCCCATGTCTCAGTTGTGCGAAAAATAGGAGGAGGGAGGAGGCTTAGATATACTTGCACCATCAGCAACTTCAAAAGAAATACAAGTGGGATAAAAATCTAGTAAATAATATAAATAAATAAAAATCTTTGTGCATGTAAAAAAAGAGCACATATTTCTGTATGCAATGAATCACTGGCTTCCACGTGCCTCTTCCCCTGAGAACATACAGTTGTGGATTGCTGATAGGCAGAAAACATTTTTTTCCTCCAGATTTTGTAAACTGACTCTGATGGCAAAGAATTAAAATCCAGAAGTTGGCTCATAAATATAGCCATATGTTATGGGCAATAGGATAGAATGGAACTATTACAACTTTTTGTCTATCCATTTCCTCCCATAATGGACAAATTCAAAATGGGCAAATTCCTAAATAGATATGGGAAAATGTTTCCGCATAAACCTTTTTATGTAGACTCTGGCCTGTTCCATAGATTGAACTCTACATTTATTTTTTCAAAAATAATGTTAAAAATTAAGCATAACCTTTTACAAATAAACGATTCATTGATAATATGGAGGCTTTTAAAATGCAGTCTCATTTCAAATAAAAATCTTAGCAATAGTTTTATTTACTATGATTAGCTATAGATTTATTTTACTTATGTATAGTGTTATTATACACATGTTTTGAATTTTTTTAAAATTAATGATAGTGGGAGATATGTTTGGGAGAGACATTTAACATACTGTTTTATTTCCATAATTGTAGGTTGAATTGATGTCTATTCCTTTTCATGTTCATTTTAAAATTAAGAATACCCAAACAGAAGCAATTAAGTTAGGAGACTCAGCGCTAGGTAAAGACAATTAATCAGAAATAAACATTTTGCTGCTCGTGTTTAGATAATGGACAAAGATTGTATTAATGCTTCATGAATTTCCAATATTACCGAATCTAGCTATCTCTGGCAACATATAAAGTAACTAATGGATGTTACAATGTTTGGAGAAGTGGCAAATACTTTTGAATAATACATTGAATAAAGTCACAAAGCAGGAATATATGATGACAGTTATGGGCCTCTTGTTTTTTAGAACTCCACTTATGCTAGCTGTGGCTTATGGGCACATAGATGCTGTTTCTTTGTTACTTGAAAAAGAGGCATCCGTTGATGCAGCTGATATCCTGGGATGTACTGCTTTACACCGAGGGGTAATTTCTCATTTTATCCTGTGATTTTGCTGTATGTTTTTCCAATTGCACATATGCCTAATAATGGTAGAGAAGAATACAGAACACTAAAATTGACTTTGATTCTAACATATATCATGTAAATCTCTGAATGCAAGCTGCTAAAGGCAGGTAACAGTGATCTGGAAACCTTTGCTGGAAACTGCTCTATTAGATGTCTCAATTAGTCCTTAATTTTTTTTAAAAAAAGCAGTGTTTATAAAAGAATGGATATGATGGGAGAAGAAAATACGACAAAAGCTGTGCAGTCCACAGTTATATAGCACTACCCTGGACGAAGAGTTTGGTCATATTTAGAGTTAAATATATGTTAGAGTTGGGAAAAGTATCAGAAAACTGCCTTTATGGAGATGCAATCAAGTTTTTTAGGTAGAAAGGGAGAATTTTTGCAATCTAAATTTTAATTGCTAAGGCTTTAAGGTTTTGTGATGATTAGAAGAAGGACAATCCTTTTGGAGGGGGCTCTGCTCATAGCTTTACATATAGGTGTTGTCAATAATCCTCCATGCATAGCACAGTGGGTTCATAGTAGGATTGTGTATGCCTACTGACATATGTTAAATTAGATGCTCTATTTAGCATATCTAATTTTCTAAGTTATTCCTCTACTTTTCAAATTTAAATAATGAAATATTTGGAACATGTTTTTTGAAGATGCCTCATCCTCATTTTTTTAATTAATCATTATTGTTTTCAAGTAGCCCATTTTTTAAAAAATATATTTCCAAGAATGCATGGGGGGGAAATTAAAATAATTCCTAGCAATGCAAGATGCACCATCATCATAAACGTCTTGAAAATGTCACTATTCCAAGCATGCTTGGAACACTTTTGAAAGTTGTTATGTTTGTACTGGCTCTTGGTCTGGAAGGACTCTTGATGCAGTATGTGAGTATATTTTTATAACGAACATTCTGAAAAGTATTTCTTTTCATTAATTTTTTAGAGAAGACAGTATCCAATGTCCATGTGCAAGTTACTAAAAAAATATTTGTCACTGACCGCCCAAGCAGAACATATTTTATTCCAGAAACAACCCAAATCTTTATCATTAATATTTCAGATAAGCTTTTTCAGTTACTAAAAAAAAATCAGTTTTTATTTATATTTATTTAGGATTGTTGATTATCTTGCATAGCTTTATGAGATGAAAGGCATATTTTACTAAAATGAATCTAATTTTTAAATTTTATTTGAAAAAGATTATGACAGGCCATGAGGAATGCATTCAAATGCTGTTGGAACAAGAAGTATTAATTCTGTGTAAGGATGCCAGAGGCAGGACACCTCTACATTATGCAGCAGCTCGTGGTCATGCCACATGGCTGAGTGAATTAATGCAGTTGGCACTTTCAGAAGACTACAATTTTAAAGATAATCAGAACTATACACCATTGCACTGGGCTTCTTATAATGGTAATCTTTTCTGCCAAGCAGATATTTATTACTGGCTATTAAAGTTTAGTATGGAAATTGCATGCAAAGAGAGATTACAGAGCTTCTAAAACAATAATTGTATATTGTAAATTATTGGAGATTTGGCACCATTCCCAGATCAACGCCATGTATGATCTGCATTGTCTCCATTTGACAGCTGACCCAATTTCTTGTGAATGGTCCAGTTTTTGATCTGACACTGAAGCTCTAAGCAGTTTTTCAGTTGGTCAGAATTTCCCCTTCCCTGCCACTCTGTTGCAATACAGCAAGTCTCCGGGTTAAGAAAACCCCAGTTTAAGGATGACCTATAGTTAAGTTAAATAAAAAGATATTCAAATTAAATTCACAATAGTTCAATTCATTATATCATACTACTTAGACAGTATTATGCAATAATACTCTCCTATCTTACATACAAATTTGACTTAAGGGCAGACCTGGGGACAGTCTTAAACTGGGGGTCTATATGTATTTTGAACACACTGATACTTCGTATTAAGCAAAATGATGGAATTGTGGCTCTCCCAAACAGCAGTCCCAGTGACTTTTTTATATTACCAAATGAATAAAATTATTTTATTTTTAAAAAGTGGGAATCACAAAGCATATACCAACTATCTCAGGTTTAGTAACTTGTACCTTCAGTTCAACCACTTTGGAGAAGTTTTTTCTAGTCAGCATGAACAATATGCTGACTTGAAATAGAGGGCACCATTTTGATTCTGTAGAAATATCTTTAGAGAATCAATATCAAACTGAATGATAAAGTATAGTTTTTTGACAATACTAAGCACTTGAAATTATCATCTGATCTCTTACAGGAAATGAAAACTGTATAGAGGTACTGTTGGAACATAAAGCTTTTCGCAACTTTCATGGAAACTCTTTTTCTCCATTGCACTGTGCGGTGTAAGTAGAAATAGCAGTAAATCTCACTTCCTATAGCCTAGGCTGTGCACCAAGTTAAGCTGGAATTTAAAAATAATAAAGCTCTGAGATAGTGATATTTTTATAATATTAGTCCCCAATCGACCCATGCTCACAGTTGCAAGCAATTAAAATGCCTTATCAGCAAGTTCCTGTACTAGGAAATGAACCATTTTCATTATAGTTTATGTAGTTTTGATTGCCAGTTTTTCTGTATTATAAACTTTAATTTCAAATTATGGTCTGAGGTTTTTAATAAAAGCAAAAGTAAAGATGGCTTTGACCTGAACTGAATATTAATGAGACATGGTCATAATTATTTTCATTTTTGCCTGTAGTACAAAAGTGGTTGGCCATTACTTTAAGGCTACTATCCATAACCTACAGTCCAATATTCTCTGTTGATCATTCATCCAAGTATTAAATGGGCACAGATCAGAAAGAGGAAAAAGTCTTGCACATGTACATATTAATTACAGAAACTTTTGGAGTTAACTCATGACAGCTGAGGAGGTGTTTGATTACTGGAAATAAATTGTGGAAAACTTATTTAATGACAACGATGTTGTTTGATTAGTGATACTGTGTTAAAAACTCCCACTCTCTCTTCAATCAAAGCCTGAGGATGTTATTATCCTTAATAATACTGATGTAGTCAAAGTAAAAATGGGGACAGAATTACATCACGGACTTTTTCAGTATTAAGCCCTCTTGTCTATAAGTGTATTATTGTGGCTTTGTTTGTTGTTGCTGGTAAGTAGCTATGAAAGTAGCATCCCAGACTGCCAGAGTTACATGAACAGGAAAGCTATAATAAGAAACAAACTAAAAAAATACATCACCTTGCTTTAAATGAACATCTTTTAAAGAAATCATTTCACACATTTCTATTAAAAATTATAGGAGGTCTATATACAGTATGTAATATGTATAAAGGGGAAAGTGACTGTACAAAGAAAGAAGAAAGTGGGAACTGTCCTTATCATGTTTTGATTCCCCCTCTGCATTTATTGTAATTTGTGAAAAAAGCCAATGGAGTGTGGTTCATGCATGTGAACATATAGGCAGTTCTATATGTAAAGGTCAGTGAACCAGTTCAGTTATGATTTATAAATTGTACATGTTTTACTGAGCAAACTATACTATAAACAAAGCTATAAACCCAGGCTACCAAAATTCTGGACTGAAAGTAAACCCAGGGAAATCCAGTTGAACTATGCTATCAAATTAATGAAATAAATCACATGGAATTAAATTGTATCCTTCCTTAACAGAATAAATGATCATGAAAACTGTGCTTCACTACTCATTGGGGCATTTGGTGGTGGCATTGTTAATTGCAAAGATGAAAAAGGAAGGTAAGAATTACTTGGATGAAATATTGTGTAGTTTATTAATTTGCTTTATTTATAATAAATTATAATTCCTTTTAAAAATGGAGGCAGTGGTTTGTATTCATTTATTAATGGAGAAGCCTTTCATCTGTCAGTAAAATGGAACAAAAACATTTTAATGTTTCCTCCCTATCTCACCAACTCTTCAAAAAGCATTGCTAGAGGAAATAAAAGGAAAGGGAGTCTCCACTCCACTAATAAAGTTTTCCACCAAGTCAAAGACATTTGCTTCAGTGAAGAAATACCAAATTGATTGTATTTGATGGGTTGAAATATAACTAAGCGAGCTCTTAAAAAGCTGGGGTTACCAATTTCATAGATGAATAGAAGGGAAGGGAAGGGTCGATTTTATTGACCAAGTGTGATTAGACACACAAGGAATTTGTCTCCAGTGCATAACCTCTCAATCATACAACAAAGTGATAGGTCACAGGTCATAAATCATAATTACAACCATTAATCAAAAGATATAAACAAGAAGTGATAAATCATAGATACCAACAGAAGAAGATAGTAGGAAAGATGAAAAGATGAGAAAGAATGAAAAATGAAAAGATGAGAAGATGAGAAAGATAATAGCAGTACAGCCTACTACATGGGTAAATACCTTTAGCCTAAGACAGCACTGTGGGAATTAGGTGTTCAGTGGAGTGATGGCACATGATACTGTTGATAATTAGTGCTGAACTCAGCTAAAACCAAGTATTGACTGCCTTCATAAAGAATTCTTCACAGAAATGTTATAATACAGCATTGTCTGTTGTGGCTTTGGGAAATTCCTATGCCTTTTATTTTATGAGGCTTACATTTGTCTCCTTTTAAGTAATTATTAAATATATATCCCTTTTCTTTAAGATTTGAAGGAATCAGATTTATGTTGCTATTGAGCATCTCTGCCTTTTTGTGGCTTTTTTTCTGTGCTGAATTATGTTTCACTTGTGAATAATACTTTATTATTCTAAATGATAATATATTTTTTCCTGAAATATTAGATTGAGAGATGAATTAGAAATAAATAAAAATAAATGATGAAAATAATAAATCACTCAAATTAGCCAAATGTTTCTATGTTCTATTTTTTCCCTAGAACTCCACTTCATGCAGCAGCCTTTGCTGATCATGTGGAATGTTTGCAGCTACTTTTAAGTCACAATGCACAAGTAAATGCTGCAGATAATTCAGGGAAAACTCCACTTACCATCGCTGCTGAAAAGGGGCATGTAGGAACTGTAGGTAAGGAATTGCTTCCTAGGAACTGAACATAACTGGTGTCATCATATAGGTCTATCTGTTAGGTAAGAAAAAAATATCCTTATTGCTTCTATTTATGACGTCTGCAGATCTTTCAAACTTCGTATCTTTGCTGAGTAGATTGTTTATTACTTGGGTGGAACGCAGGCAAAGGGTTAATTGGCAACTTTCTTAGAAGAAAGGCAGGCCAGTACAAGAGAACTTCAAGACTTCAGAACTTCAAAGGCGGAAGACAGAAAGAAGCTGTTGAGAGTTGGAGGGAAAGGAAAAGAAAAAGTGATAACCTGTATGTAACAAAAGAAAAAAATATGTATCAGAAGATCTAAGCAACTACTCTGATTCTGTAAATAAAGAATAAAGGAGGAATTTACTGATGTACTATTCAGAAGCAATGCATGCTTTCCAGGGGCAGGATGCTACCGGTTCGGCCCAGTTCTATAGAACCGGTAGTTCTGAAGAGCAGCAGATACTGGACTGGTTCCCTGCAATGACCTTTTGGGCCTCTTTTTAGCCTACCCGCCCAGCCAGGCTCTTGGCTGTCCTTTATTTCCTGCTTTTTCAACCTCAGCTGCTTTGCACAGCACAGCTGAGGTTGAAAAAGCAGGAAAGAAGAGGATTTTCAAACGCTCCACACCCACAAAACACACTCTCACTGAACCGGTAGTAACACCAGTTGAATCCCACCCTGATGCATTCACACACATACACCCCACACACAGATATGTGTATTATGGTATTCCTTTACAAAACAAGCAACATTAAGCAAAGCATAAAAAACATTAAGAAGTAGCGAGTAGAAGATTACAAATAAGTGAAACTAAATAAAATCTAAGTAAATCCAGTTTACACTGACTAGATTTCTCTCTACTTTTCTATATCTTTCTGTCCTTGCTTCTACCCACACATCACTTCAAACAAGATTTTTAAACTTGCCATCTCTCTTCTTTTAGGATCTCCTTAACTCTATCCAGCTATATCTTTATTTTCTCCTTCTTTTCATTTCATTCCAATATCTCTTTCTTTAGGTATTTGTTTTGCAATTCCATTTTGTTAATTTTTTCTATATGACTAGTCTGTTCAATGTATTTTCATACTGGCCATTCACTTTTGTAGACAGACCACATTCATTTATCCAGCACCCATTTATTGTAGACTATTCCTTCTGGTTTTACCTCCTATATTTTCAACACACATTCCTTGCGGTATATTTATATCAGCAGTTGCGCATCATAAAATTCCATATCCACTTGCCTGTCTTTAATAAATATGCTACCTTTTAAAAGAGAAACTATTATATAATCTATTCGCATAATGTCATTCTTAAATACAGTTTTAATTATTCATTATCAACTGGTCCTCTGAGTAATGTTGAATATAAAATTCCCATCCTCTGTAGTATGCTACTGGGAAAGAACAGAGAGGGAACACATCAACAATATTATTTTGGAATAGTAACATCAACTTGTTACTTTATTATTTTGGAATAGTAGCAACGAAATGTTAAACAATCATTCAAAACCTGGCCATCTCTAGTCTGGACTACTGCAATGCACTCTACATGGAACTACCCTTGAAGAGATTCAGAAGCTTCAACTGGTTCAGAATGCAACAGCACAGGTAGTTCTTGGTGCCCATGTTACACCAAGCTGCACTGTCTGTTAGTTTGCTTCTGGGTGCAATTCAAGGTGTTGGTTATTACCTTTAAAGCCCCACATGGCATGGATTCAGGTTATTGAGGAATTGTCTCACCCACTGGGACTGGCCTGCCTGCCCCATGCACCTTGGCAAAGGAGGCATGCTGCAGACATCAGTCAAGGAATTCTGATGATGGGGTCCAAGAGAAGAGCCTTCTCTGCAATGTCTCCTGCCCTTTGGAACATCTAACCCCTGAGGTGAGATCGGCTCCCATCCGTCTGATCTTCACAAGAGCCTGAAAACCTGGCTGTGCCAGATGGCTTGGACACCAATGTGGGAGCGTCACACTGTGAGGCACAGGCACAACCTGTTCCTTCCCTTCCCATCTATAATTCTATTATAATTCTAAAACTATAATTCTATTATCATTATAATTTCCATTTTTATTGTTATAGAAATTTATATTTTGCAATTTTAATGATGTAACTCTCCCAGTGTTGCTTTGAAATGAGAAGGGTGGCAAATAAATTTAATTAGGGTAGATTGCAAGGGCGACTCCGAAATATAATGTTATTATATTTTATCCATATCTTAAATTATTGTACATTATTACAATTTTATTTTGGATTGTATTTTATTACTATTTCATCTTAAATCGTATTTTGTCTAGATTCCATTTTAAATTCTATTTTATCAAGTTCCATTTTAAATAGTATTTTATCAAATTTCATTTTGAATTGCTTTTATTAAATTTTAGTAACAAATTGTTGCTGGAACTTTGCACTTTGATATGGCCCAAGGGCTAATCAATAAAGACTTATTATTATTAATTTAATTAATTAATTGAATGAATGAATAAATGAATAAATTTATCTCTAAAATAATTAAGATGAAATTATGTCACATATAAATTGTTTACCATACATGCTTAGGCATATTCAGAATTCAAAAACATGAAATATGGAATAAAAATTGATTGTTTGAGCAACTGAATTTGTAAGCTGCCCCATTCCAGATGACTTTGGACAGCTTAACAAAATTCAAACAACAGTACCAAATAACCATAGCAAAAAAAGTTGTGTTCAAAACCCTCCATCCATGTTCCTCATAACACCCGCAACCCATTCATCCTTCTAACCCAAGGTTAGAACAAACATGGAACAAACATGATCCAGACAAAATCATTCACCCTTTGTGATCCTACCTTTCCTACAGTTTCTTACAGCATTTTTCATATTACAGAAGATCAATTATGAATGAAAATTAGAATAACTGCACTGTGCTTTTTAAATAGTAATACTAAAAGCCCTTTTCGGAAAAACATTGCTTTATGTCATGACTTTATTGAATTTTGTTCTGATCTCTTTTATCACAGTTTTATTTTTCTTACTAATTTATTATGTAAACTTCATCTGAAGAGTCTGAAGATACTTGAATTGGTGTTATGGATGTAAACTTATGGAATATTTTGGTTTTTTTGTATTTTAGATTTTTTGGTGAACAGTGCTAAGGCTGATTTAACCTTGATGGATAATGACTTGAATACATCATTGCACTTGGCTAGCAGTAAAGTATGTTTAAAATTGTGTTTGGTTCTGCTTGTGTCAGCATGTCCTCAAAAGTGTGTAAAATATGTCAGATGTTGACACTTGTATTAGAGAGTAAATAATTCCTGTGTAAATTAAGTATGTATGAAACAGGGTTACTACAAAGTTTATGGTTATATAGTTTTTTAATATATTATATAACTTGCAGCAACCAATACATCCTAGTTTCTATCTATATATTTTATGAATGTGATAATTTTAAAATCTTTATATTAAAATACAGTGCATAAAACTAAATGAAATTATGATGAGGAAAGTTTGGTTAAAATAAATCCTCATCAAAAGATTCAACAGAATTTGCCCTTTCTCATTGAAAAGTTCATTTTTATTGTTTGTTCAGGTAGTGCTTACTTAGCAGCCACAATTGGGACAAGTAATTGTCCCTAACACCATGATCGTTAATTGAAATAACATAATAATAACAAAATAACACATAACTGTGATTTATGATTCTACTTCTGCTTTCATTATTAACTCTACTTGTGACAAGCCAGTTGCTAAGAACTCAACTGGTGATCACATGATCATATAATGAGACAGTTGTAAAAGTGAGGATTGGCTGTAAAACTTTTATACCACTTGTAACGTGAGCGGTCATTAAACAAGGCAACTGGAGGATGAGGACTACCTGTATATTCTATGGCCTGGAAATGGCAACACTGAAATTTCACAATCCTGTGCCATACCGATCAATCCCATAAGAACTGATGTCCATATTGTGCATTGCACATTTCAACAGCAAATTATTTTCCTAGTAATGTAGTGTTAATTAAATATCACAGGGATCCTGGGGTACTTCCACATTTTGCATTAATAAAAATGACAGTAATAAAAATGGAAAGATCTAAAACAATACAGTGATAACTACTCTTCCTCTTGGTTTTTGAATTATTTGGTGCCTGGGGTAGGGGAGTGAGGCTAAAAGAAATAAATAAGAAGAACAGAATGCCAGGTTTTGGAACAGATTGGCTTGTCTGCTAACAGTCTGAAAAGAGCCCCATAATATTGCATTTTTTTAATTGAATGTTCCATTGGTGTAAGATGTAAACAAACGATAAAGTTTAGAATACAGTTTTTTAGCTTGTAGATAATGTTGTAGATTTTGCTGGTTCTTTGTTAGTTCTGATAATTTCTAATTTTAGTATGAATCCATAACCTAAGATAGCTTATATATATATATATATAT